ATCTTCATCTTCATCTTCATCTTCATCTTCATCTTCATCTTCATCTTTATCTTTATCTTCATCTTCATCTTCATCTTCATCTTCATATTCACCTTCGTCTTCATATTTATCTTTTCCTTTATCCTGATCTATATCTTCATTCTTTTCTCCATTTCCGTATTTACCCCCACCATTGTTATTAGGTTAGGTAGTTAAATTTTCCTTCCTCTTTTTCTTTATATTGTTTCTTTAGTGATATCATGTCATGTGTTGAAATTGGGTGTGGTGAGTTGCAGTGTGGTGGAATTGGGTGTGGGAGTTACGGTGTTATGAATTCAGGTGTGGTGGTCTTAAGAGGTGTGGTGAATTTAGTTGTGGTGAGTTGAGGTGTGGTGAATTAAGGTGTGGTGAGTTAAGATGTGGTGAGAAAGTTGGGGTGTGGTGAGTTAAGGTGTGGTGGATTTAGGTGTGGTGAATTAAGGTGTGGTGAATTTAGGTGTGGGGAGTTAAGGTGTGGTGAATTAATGTGTAGCGAACTCAGGTGGAGTAAGTTTTTAAGCGGAGGTGAGATGAGTTGAGGTGAGTTAAGTTAAGGGGTTAAGTTAAGATAAGTTATCTTTATCCTTATCTTCATATTCATATTCATCTTCATCTTCTTCCTCGTCTTGGTCTTCATCTTCTTCTTCATCTTTATCCTTTCCTTTATCCTGATCTAAATATGTCCATTCTTTTCTTCATTTACATATTCACCCCCACCATTGTTATTAGGTTAGGTATTTACATTTTCCTTCCTCTTTGTCTTTATATTTAGGTTTCTTTACTTTTATTTTAATTTCTGTATTTATCCCTTTCTTCTTCTCTATACTCAAAATTATCTTCATCCTTGTTTGAGGCTAATCTATTCATGTACATACATACATACATCTTATTCCTAAACTGCTGCTTAGCACGTTTCTTTAATTCACTATCAATATTAAAGCATACATTTAGGAGGCATTTCCGCCCCAACCATGTACATGTATGGCATTGGTATTGGTGTGACTTTTGAATTGATTTTTCGCTCTATTTTAAACTAATTTGAAATTTTAAAAATTGCCTGCACATCAGCATCAAAATACCTTTCTAATTATATATAATTGTTTATACCTTAGAAGTACAGTTTAGCCGTAAAAGGGGTGTAAAGGAAACATGATTGCCTATTTATATAATTGATATGAAAAATAATTTAATGATGTTAGATTTTATTTCTGTGCCCATTTCGTTATAGCTCGTTATTTTTTAAGCGAGTTAAGGTATTTAGCCCGTTTAAAACTATGAAAATATAAAATCTCCTCTGCGCGCTAGGCATACGAAAGATATCAATCCCTCTATGTTTACCTTAAAATGGTTCCAGGTATACGACGCGTGAACGTGTAACCTTCTTGGAGGTGCCACGGCGGGTTCTAATATTTCCAACTCAAATTTAGTACCTGGCCTTGATAAAATACCACTTCTCATTACTGTGGCAAATGCCTCAAGAGAGCTCAAGATTATAAGGCGAACCCGGCTCTCCCTTTTCCATTTAATGAAATTTATTCTGTCAGTACGGCACTTATAAAATAAATCTCCATAACAAATTTAAAATACTTCGAGAGATTTTCTATCCTTTCAGAGATATGTATTAAGAAGTTTTTAGTATGTATGGGAGGCGACATGCCTTCTTTTTTAATAACTCAAATTTTTTCCATGAGCAATTGATACATTTTGTATACACAAATCTATACCAAGTTACAGTATTCTTCCACAAACACTTCCAGGGATATGTGGCAAGAAAAAGTAAATTTGAACTGGAAGTGTCACGCCCCTTTTTCTTATAACCCTAATCTTCTTCCATGAATTTAGAATTGATTTTACATACCCCAGTACTCTACCATGAACACCTCTAGAGATAAGCAGTATAAAACAGTAAATTTGTACGGGAGGAACCATGTCCCCTTTTCGAATAACGCAAGTTTTTCTCCATCAGTATGGAATTAATTTTGTATACACATCTCGGTGCAAAGTTCCAGTCCTCTGCAATAAACACCTCCAGAGATATGCAGCATAGAAAAATCAATTCGCATGGGAGTTGCCACACCACCTTTTCCAATAACTCTAATTTTTCTCCATGAGTATGGTATTAGTTTCACATACATACACACATATGTATTTCCATACCAAGCTTGAGTGCTTTACCCCAAACATTTGAAGAGATATGCAATATGAAAGTTTGAGTCAGTATGGGAGGTGCTACGCCTCTTATCCAAAAACGTCCATTTTCTCCGTGAACATGAACATGATTTCACAGTGTTGGCAAACTGTTAATCTGATTAAAATTAACGATTAAAACGTTAATCGCGTTTGACGATTAAAATTAATTAGTCGTAATCAACTGTACGATTAATGATAACATTTTTTTAATCGTTAATCGCTGGCTGCGATTATGTTTAATTAATATAGAACATTAATTGTTTATCCAATTAAAAACAAAATCTGATTAATTTGTATAGTTTGTCCGAGTTTGAAACCAAACACCAGTTATAGTAAGTATTTTGTGTTTTACGCTTATAAAAAGCACATAATATATAAAAATTATAAATATTGTTATTAGTAATACATAAACTGGGAACTTTTACAAACCAAGTTTGTAAAACGTTTGTTGGTATATATCTTAATGAAAATGCACACCGAATTGCTTAGATTGATGAGGAAACCCGACTTAGCCATACCGGATTAACTTGCTTTGTGTGCACAGGGAAATTCCAGCATAACTTAATTAATCACCAAACCTACTTGATCAAATTAAGAGTTAATGATTAAAAATTAATTTTTTAATCGCGGTTACGATTAACTGTTTAGGCAGATTAAAATTAATCATGATTAACTGTAATCAGATTGAATTTAATCGAATTAACTAACTGATTAAAACATCAATCGATTAATGCCAACATTGATTTCACATACATATCACTATACCAAGTTTCAGTTCTCCCCCACAAATACTTCCAGAGATATGTATGTAATATGAAAATTCCAATTTGTATGGGAGGGGCCTTAAGTTACTGGACTTACTTTTAGTCTAAGACCATCCTTCCGAAATCCGTAGTAAGTGTACCAAGTTTCGTTCTGATCGGAAAACCGGTTAAGGAAGTAACCTATTTTTCAATCCAGGTCATAAACCATCTTTGA